GCCTGCAACCCAGTCATGTGCCTTGACAGGGAATTGAACCATGATCTTTTGCTTCAAAGGCCTGTGCTCCATCCACTAAGCTACACCAGTCAGGGATGTAGTTTGAAGTTTTGATAGGGCTTGCATTGAATTTGTAGTTTGGGCAGTATACATATTTTAGTGAATCCTTCCTAACTGTAAATGCAGGATATATTTCCATTTATTTCTGTCTTTTCCATTTCTTTTACCAAACTCTTAGAGTTTTCAATGTCCAGACCTTTCACCTCCTTGGTCATCGTCTGTTGTGTTTGATGTTATTGTAAATGGGATTAAAGCTTTATTTCATCTCCTGATGTTTTTGTATTTTGCATATAAAAATGCCACTGATTCCTCAAAGTTCATTTTGTAATCTGCAACTTTACTAAAATGGTTTTTTAGTTTCAACCATTCTTTACTGGCTGTTCAGTGATTTTTAATATATAGGATTATATCACCTGCACACAGTTTTATTTCTGCCTTTCCAATTTGGATCCTTTGTTTCTTGTCCTTGTCTGATGCCTCTACCTAGGATGGGTAGTGTGAGTTGCACAGGAGTGGGGAGAGTGGGCTTCCTTGTTCTGTCACTGATCTCAGAAGAGAAACTCTCAGCTTTTCAGTGTTGAGTCTGATGTTGATTTTGGGCTTCCACACATGACCTTTATTGTGCTGAGGTATGGTCATTCCATCCCCTATGTGTTGACAGTGTTTATTATGAAAAGTCTATTATGAAGGAATGGTCTGTTTTCTCCAATGCCTCCTCTGCATCTGTTGAAAGAAGCACATGTTTCATGTCATATATTTATTAATGTGATGAAAACGTTGATTAATTTGCACATGTTGAGGTGTTTTTTCCAATTATCAGGACCGTGTGTTGAATCCCATTTGATCATGGTGTACAGAACTTTTCACAAGCCCTTGAATTTGTCTTGCTAATATTCGTTGAGACATTCTCCATCTATATTCAACAAGAATATTGGCCTCTTGTTTTTCTTCCCTTTGGTGGATGCCCTCTGTACCATTGTTCATGTCATTCACTTAGCTTTTCAGCCCCAGAAATGATGGGATTTATTTTATGACTTCTGCCTCTTGGTTGAATTTGCAATTTGGCCCATGTAAAAGTGTTCCTGACTTTATTAAGTTGTATTTCTATTTTTGTATTGTAGTTCATTGAGTTTCTATTGAATTATCTGTTGAGCAAACTGTTGTTCTCCATGTCTTTGGGTTTAGTTATTGGGACGTTATTATGATAACGTCGATGGCACAGACTTTGATTCTTTTTGATCTTTGGAGTGGTGTGTTCTCTTTTTGTATGTGATGTTTCAGTCACCTCCTGCAAGCTTGACCAGCTGCCTGGTGCTGAGAGACCCTTTCTGTTTGTCCTGCGTGTGCTCTGGGGCTTCTGGGACCTTGTGTGGATGCGTGTAGCTTCCTCTTGTAGCAGGATTCTCAGGTTGTAGGTCTGGTCCTCATCTTTCAGTGTATCTGGACAGTTGTAGGTAAACAATCTCTCTCTCTCTCTGTCTCTCTCTTTCTCTCTGTCTCTCTCTCTCTCTTTCAGTCTCTCTCATCTCATGTTTTGTTTTTCCTTAAATTAAGGGCTCATGGTTTTACAGACACAGGCCTCAGCCTTCATGCCAGACGGCCATCGTCAGCTGGCTCACCGCAGTCCAGTCTCAGACCTCTCCTTGCTGTCTTGTGGGATCAGAGGCATCTTAGGGTCCTCAGTGGATCGCTGGAAGGCAGCTTGGACCAGGAGCTCCAGGGGGTCACTGGGGTGTTACAGCTGAAAGAGGGAGGAGCTGTGTGAGCTGTAGCACCTGTAGGTCCCTCTGTAGCCCCAGGTCACAGGGATGATGGTGAAGTTGGCTTGAGAGGAGGCAGCCGTGTCCTGCAGATGAAGCTGCTGGGGAGGATCCAGGGACCCCTCTCTGTGCAGGTGGAAGGTGTCAGCCCTGACCCCAGATTGACACTGCAGGGTCACTTTTACTCCCCAGGGCACTGAGGGCCCTAGCTGGGCTAAGAGGGAAGGTTTCTTGTACATTCCTATGGAGAGGAGGGCTGTGATGAGCAGAGGGTCACCCCTCCACCCATAGTCTTGTCCCTGAGCTGAAAGACCATGTCCTTCCTGTTACCCAGGTACACTGTATATAACCCCTCTAAGCTCCTCTCAGTCCCTTTGAGGGACATAATTTATCTTCATGCCCCTCATGCCTTCTCTTTCTCTTTCCCTTCTTTAGACTTCAGTCCCTAAGTTTAAAAAATATATATGTGGCTGTTGAAAGCAGAAATGGGCACATCGCCTGGTGTGGTGTGTGAGGTGTGTGGATGGACCACAGACTCCAACGGCAGCGCAAGGCAGTGGGTGTAAAAGGACCTGCACAGTTGTGAGGCTTTTGCATTGACCTTGCAGAGATGAAGTATAACCTCCTCTGTGCAGAATCTGTGAAATGAAGTTGTATATTATAATACTTACAACTGTCACTGAAAAAGCAACATACAAAGACTCATAGTTAGAATTCCAGTGGATAGATTAGAATGAAATACTAAAAACCTATCCCAAAACACAGAGAGCAGTGAAAGGAAACCTGAAGAGCAAAGAGCAGATGTGACCTGCAGATGCAAACAGTAAAGTGGGAAACCTAACACCACCTACATTACAGTACATGTAAGTGGTGAAAGCAGAAGTCAATGGCAGATTTTAGGAGTGCATTGATTTCTTCGCTCTGGCATATATTAGTGAATGAACGGGTTTATTTCTTTTTTCAAAATATATTTTATTGATTGTGCTATTACGGTTGTCCCATTTTTCCCCCTTTATTTCCCTCCACCCTGCACACCCCCTCCCACCAGCATTCCCATCCTTTAGTTCATGCCCATCAGTTTTTTGGCTTCTACATTTCCCATACTGTTCTTAACCTTCCCCTATTTTCTGCCTACTATCTATGCTACTTCTTCTCTGTACCTTTTTTCCCTCTCTCCCCCTCCCACTCCTCTCCTGATAATCCTCCATGTGATCTCCATTTCTGTGATTTTTGTCCCTGTTCTAGTTGCTTGCTTAGTTATTTTCTTTAAGGTTTGATTGTTAATAGCTGTGAGTTTGTTGTCATTTTACTATTCATAGTTTTGATCTCCTGTCTCTTAGATTAGTCCGTTTAACATGTCATATAACAAGGGCTGGGTGATGATGAACTCCTTTAACTTGACCTTATCTGGGAAGCAGTTTAGCTCCTCTTCTATTCTAAATGCAAGCTTTACTGGATAGAGCAATCTTGGATGTAGGTCCTTGCCTTTCATGACTTGGAATACTTCCTTCCAGCCCCTTCTTGCCTGCAAGGTTTCTTTTGAGAAGTCAGCTGAAAGTCTAATGGGATCCTTTATAAGTAACTATCTCCTTTTCTCTTGCTGCTTTTGAGTTTCTCTTCTTCTCTTTAATCTTGGCTAAGGTAAGTATGATATGTCTTCGTGGGTTTTTTTGGGACTCTCTGAGCTTCCTGGAGTTCCTGAAAGTCTATTTCCTTTGGCAGATTGGGGAAGTTCTCCTTCATTCTTTGTTGAAATAAGTTTTCAATTTCTTGCTCTTTTTATTTCTGGCACCCCTATGACTCAGATGTTGGAACATTTAAAGATGTCCTGGAGGTTCCTAAGCTTCTCCTCATTGTTTTGAATTCTTGTTTCTTCATTCTTTTCTGGATGAATGTTTCTCTCTTCCTTCTGCTCCAAACCATTGATTTGAGTCCTGGTTTCCTTCCTGGCACTGTTGGTTCCCTGTACATTTTCCTTTATTTTACTTTTCATAGCCTTCATTTTTTCCTCTAATTTGTGACTATATTTCACCAGTTCTGTGAGCATCCTGATGACCAGTGTTTTGAACTGTGCATGTGATAAGCTGGCTATCTCTTCATCACTTAGCTGAGTTTTTTTTCTGGAGGTTTGATCTGTTCTTTCATTTAGGCCATTTCATTTGTCTTGACAGGCCTTCGAGGTAGCAAGGGGAGGAGGCTTAGGTGTTCACTGGGCAGGGCAACCCACATGTGTGCCTTATGACACTGTATGTGGGGGAGGATCTGGGAGGGAGCAGTGCTACTTGCTCTGCTCTCTCCCAGTTTTCAGTCACTCCCCCTGCTACCCACAATCAAATTGGAATCTGCTGTTGCTGATTTTTGGGTGGTGGGTTTGTGTATGTTCCAGGACCCTGTTAGTCTCTGCAACAAACTGCCCTGTGAGGTTTGGAGTTTCTCTTACTGCCACCTCAACCACCACAGGTGTTTTCAGTCAGAGGCTTTGAGGCTTTATTTCCCAGTACTGGAACCCTGGGTTGCTTGGTCTGTCTCACTCCCCAGTTTTTCTTTTCAGTTTATTTGCATGCAAATGTAGGACCTTGTAGTCCATGAGCTGCTGCCTTGCCATGAGTCCTCTCCAGCAGGCTGCTCATCTGCGCCCTCCTACAGGTCTGGATGAATGTTTGTTCTTTAACTCCTTGGTTGTTGGACTTTTATACAGTTTGATTTTCTGTCAGTTCTGGTTGTTTTTTGCTTTAAATTTGTTGTTGTCATTGTTTTGGTTGTGCAAGGAGGCACCATTTGTCTACCTACAACTCCATATTGGATGGAAGTTATGGGTTTATTTCTGAAGTTTTGATTCTGTTCCATTTGTCTGTATCTCCTTCTTTTTTGCAATTACCATTGTTTTAATTATTAGAACTCTGTAGCATAATTTGATACCAGGCAGTGTGATGCCTTTAGCTGTATTCTTTTTCAAGATTGCTTTGGGTATTGGTGGTCTTGAGTGGTTTTGTGTGAATTTTATTATCACCTTTTGTATTTCTGTGATAAGCGCAGTTGAAATTTTGGTAGGGCTTGCAGTGAATTTGTCGATTGGGCAGTATACACATTTTAGTGAATTCTTCCTAACTGTAAATGCAGGATATATTTCCATCCTTTTAATTTCTTTTACCAAAGTCTTAGGGTTTTCAGTGTCCAAACCTTGCACCTCCTTGGTCATCGTCTGTTGTGTTTGATGTTATTGTAAATGGGAATAAATCTTTATTTCTTTTCCTCATTTTGTTATATTTTACACACAGAAATGCCACTGATTCCTGAATGATTGTTGTGTGTCCTGCCATTTACTGAATTTGTTTTTAAGTTTTTACTATTTTTTGTGGAGTGTTTGGGGGGGTTATATAAAAGATTGTATCATCCACACAGTTTTATTTCTTTCTTTCCAGTTTGCATGGTCTGTGTTTCTTGTCCTTTTCTCATGGTTCTGCCTAGGACAGTTAGTGTGAGTTTCACAGGAGTGGGGAGAGTGGGCTTCCCTTGTCCTGTTGCTGATCTCAGAAGAGAAACTCTCAGCTTTTCAGTGTTGAGTCTGATGTTGGCTGTGGGCTTCCACACGTGACCTTTATTGTGCTGAGGGGTGGTCATTCCATCCCCAATGTGTTGACAGTGGTTATTATGAAATGTTTTTTTATGAAAAAAATGGTGTACTTTGTCCAATGTCTTCTCTAAATCTATTCAAACAGGCATATGTTTTATATCATTTACTTTATTATTGTGGTGAAAACCCTTATTGATTTACACATGTTAAAGTATTGTTCACTACTATCAGGACCCTGTGTTAAATCCCATTTGATCATGGTGTGCAAGAGGTTTAATGTGCTTATGAATTCGTCATGCTAACGTTCATTGAGATATTTTGTATGTTTGTTCAAGAAGAATATTGGCCTCTTGTATTATTTTTTTGATTTATTCTTTGGCTGATGCCCTCTGTACCACTGTGCATTTCATTGAGTTACTTTTCCCAGCATGAAATTGATGGGTTTTATTTGATGATTTCTGTCTCTTTGTTGAATTTGCTGTTTGGTCCATGCAATGTTTTCCTGACTTTATTGAAATGTCTTTCTGTTTGTGTCTTGTAGTCGTGGAGCGTCTTTTGAATTACATGCTGGGTAAATGGCAGTTCTCCCTGACTTCGGGTTAAGTTATTGGGATTTTATTATGGTCTTTGGTGATGGCTGACATTGTGATTCTTCCTGATCTGCGGAGTGATGTGTTCTCTTTTTGTATTTGATGCCACAGTCACCTCCTGCAAGCCCAACCAGCTGCCCTCAAGTGAGAGACCCTTTCTGTTGGTCCTGAGTGTGTCTGGGGCTTCTGGGACCTTGTGTGGATGGGCCAGCTTCGTGCTTGTGGCTCCCTCTTGTGGCCGGATTCTCAGGTTGTAGGTCTGGTCCTCATCTTTCAGTGTATCTGGCCAGTTGGTAAACTCTTGTCTATATTTTTCTTTAATGTTATTTTAAATAATAGGCCATGACTTTCACAGACAGGGGCACCTAGTCCCCATGCCATCTCCAAGGTCCAGCTGACCCCATTGCAGTCTCAGACCTCCTCCTTGCTTTTTGATGGGATCAGAGGCATGTTAGGTCCTCAGGGGTCCCTGAAACTGAGCCTCCATAACAAGCCTGTTGCTACTGCTCTGGGCAGGGCGAGCATGGGGCGGGGCTGCAAGGGACCCAGGGGCCAGCAGGGTCTGGGCTGTGTGCAGGGCTCTGGCCAAGCTGTGGGGGGATGGGTGCGAGCCCCTGAGCAGTTAAGGCAGAAGCGGGTTGGGGGCAGATCAACTTGGACAGGTTGTTGCTGCTGGTGAAGGGCTTGGAACAGAGAAGGCAGGGGAGGGGCTTCTGTCCCCTGTGCACTCTGCAGGGACAGGCTTCTGCCAGTGTGCAGGAACTTCTTGTGGCAGCCCTGCCTGTGGCAAGCACGGGTGATGTGAGGTGCACGGACTTGAAGGAGCTTTAGTGCAGCCTGGGAAGGGAGTGCAGTGGCTCTGGTGGTAGCGGCTCAGGCACAGGATCAGGCCTAGGAGCGGGAGGACAGGGACCAGAGGGAGGGGGACGGGAAGGGTGGTGCAGCGCCTCCTAGGGACTGGGGGCCACAATGCTGGTTCGTGGGGATCCTGGCTCCTGGAGCAGGTGGCATGGCAGTAACTTTGGGCCCGGGAGAGACACTCTCCTCATACCCACCCTCGGGTGGGGCCCCTGCTCTGTGCCTGCTGGTCCAGTGCACTTTATGCCCAGGGAGCTGGACCTGAACTCCTTGGGTGAAGTAATCCTTAGGGTAACCACTGCCATTGGCCTAAAATGTGCGTGCTGGGGTCAGTGACCTTGATAGAACTGGGGAAACACCAGGGATATGCAACACAGTGGGGAACACTCTCCTGGCCATCAAGAAGACAGAAGGGGAAGGGACTAGAGAAGAAAGTGTATGAATGACCCAGGAACACGGACCACAGGGTGGGAATTGAGTGTTGGAGCCCAGTGGGGCCTGTGTGAAATGGGTGGAGGTGAGTATAGGGGGAAATCGGGAGAACCGTAGTGCAATAATAACTTTAAAATATTTTAAAAATAAAAAATAAATAACAGCAAAAAATAAAAAGGAAGGAAGAAAGGAGTATTTACAACCAGGAATTAGGGAAGTGATACAATCAGGCCTAATCAAAACAATGGTGTTTTCTGGGAGCTGGTTTACAAACACCCCTGACCACCACTCCACACACCTGTGGAGTTTCTGGAGCAAACACACCAGGTCCATCATCTGATGCACAGAGCATCCTTCACCTGACTGGGCAGTGTTTTTCATGATGGTTTGTATTACTTCCTCCCAAACTAGTCTTTTACAATGAAATTTATTGCAGTTTTATGAAGTCATACAATTACACAGGTGTCAGCGCTGACTGGTGTGGGTCAGTGGGTTGAACACTGGCCTGCAAACCAAAGGGTCCCCTGTTCTATTCTTGGTCAGGGCACACGGCTGGGTTTCAGGCCAGGTACCAGGCTGGGGGTGAGTCAGGGGGAGAAATCCGTGTTCATGTGGCACATTGATGCTTTTCTCCCTCCCTTCCCCTCTCTAGGAAATAAATAATAAAATCTTAAGAATATTACAGAGGTTTCAAGCACACGGTTCTATGATACATCATCAGTATATGGCACTGAGTTCTTCCAAAATCAAATCTCTCCTCACCATAGATTTCACTCTCTTCACCCTCCTCTGTCTCACTCTGACCCCTTCCCCTGGTGACCACCAGTGTGTTGTTCATGTCCACCAGTCCAAAGAATTCCTGGTTTTTATTCTTTTAACCAGTTGTTTAAGAAAGATTTATTGCCTGACCCAGAGACATACAGAATCAGCAAATGTGGACAATAAAAGAAAGAAAATGTCCTGCATGAAAGTGGACCAGAGATGGAGGGTGAGCCCAGGGGTGGATCTGAACCTGTGATGTGGGCTGAGCCCCAGGTCACGGGGGTGAGAACAGAGGCGCAGCCAAGGAAGGTCAGCAGTGCAGTGAGGGGAGACGCCCACAGTCTAGCTGTGGGGAAGCCTCTGCAGCCCCAGCCCCGCCTCTCCCTGCAGGGGAACCACGCCCACACCCTCCACATTCTCAGCAGACTCTTTCCCAGGGGCGCCCACAGTTTCCTCCAGAGCTTCCTGGGGTCATCAGACTCTTCTCCAGGCTCTGCCTCACTGACTGGTGGGTTTGCTGTTCCCTGTGTTCAACTCCTGGCTGCATCGTGGGGTCTTCTTCAACTGTGCCAAGCTTCACACAGCAGCACCCCGAGGACCATGAGGATGAAGCCAGACACACCCAAGCGGATGAGGTTCCCCACTGTGTAGTCTTGGGGTTGATGAGCTAGGAATTGTGAGTGAAGAGGTCACAGAGGTCAGGACAGACTCAGATCACCCCAGTCCCCCTGCATGTCCACCAGGGCACCTGCATCTCATGGACCAGTTTTGATGCTCTGAGCACAGCCCCATAATTGAGAATTTCTCCTCCCCTCTACTCTTGGAATCTGACTTGTTTCCCATCATCCCAGAGGATCAGCAGCTCCAGAGGAAAAGAAAACCAACAAGATATAAGAGGAGAAAAGTAGAATGGCTTCAGTCATCTCTTCTCTCATCTTCAATGTGTCTCTCAAACTAATGTTTCCCAACCCAACTCCCCCAGGGGAGCATTTCTGTGGCCTGGACTTGCATTGCTTTGCAAAGTCAAGATGCACACAGGGTACTTCAATTTGTCCTGAATGTCAGGACATGAAGGAGTGACAGCTGGATCTACCTTTTCACTACTTCACCTCAGCTGTCTCCTTGTGTCTCTGACTCGGGAACATAATTTCCACATCACAATCCTTTCTTCTTTCTCAATTATTCTTTTTAAAGAGATAGATGATGGAATATGTACAACATAGATATTTTTGGCATTGAGATTTACCAAAGTTAACGTAATCTCTAAGTGTTCATTGAGCTTGTAATCTCCCAGGAAGATTGGTAAGAAAGTGGCAAAAAAATAAAAGAGAAAATCTTTAGATGCATAGCTGCATGAAAATACAGATCTCTGTAGATCACAGACAGACGCTGATGATGTGACAAATGAAGTCACAGGCAGTGCAGGGAACTCTGGAAGGGGGAGGGGGCACTGGTGGGAGTTCTGGTGGGAGGTGTTTTGGAGGATGACCTGCCCCAGCTGACCACCTGGTGTCATGGAAATGGAGCAGAAACCCTGCTGTCCTCCCACACCCAGGTAATGACTGTGGTCTCTCATGGAGACTGTACAAGCTCAGAGTGGGCTCATGTTCTTTCTCCCACAGGGATTCACTGGCATCAAAGTTCTAAACTGACTGAACTTTTTCAAATCTGGGAATGGATTGTGCTGTGATAGATGGGAGAAGGGAGTCCCAGATACAAGTAGGATGTTGTCACTGGGACGCATATCAATGGGGCTGAGCCAGCTCCATATCAGTTCAGACTGTCAGAGGATCTCTGACTCCTATCTCTGGTTATGACTCACCCTGACCCATAATGGGAGCCTCCTTGACTGTGTCTCCCACGTGGGCGTGATTTTACAAGAACCAGAACAGCTCAGGGGCCCTGAATCAGCAACACAGACAGAGGCAGTTGTGGCTCCTTCTGTTTTCACCCCACCTGAGCTGGGCATCTTCCTCTTCATGTATTTCCTCCCCACTGATCACATGGGACCCAATGACCACCCTGCTCCTTGAGACAACAGGTCCCTTCCTTACATCTCCAACTTTATCCCCAGGACTTTGGGAAACAAGGCCTTCTGGAACTATTTGAAGTATTGAAATGTATAATGGTTGAGTGTGTGTCTTCTCTGGGCCAAGGGGACTCTGCTACCCAACAGACATGAAGTTTGTCCGTGTGGAGGAGGGTCTGCAGACCCCAGCTGCTGCATGACACAGGAACAGGGGAGGCTGTGGGTGTGCCTGCCTCCTCATGTCTCCTATAGTCCAGTAGATGTCCCCCAAATGTTGGCCCTTCACACACTTCAGTGTCCTCTGTCCACACACCAGCCCTGGATAGAACCTCAGGTGGGCTGAGGCATGGAGAGGGTGGGGACTCCCCATCTTCTCCATCATTTATGGGGTGTGATTCCCTCTATGCCAACCTGACTATTTCACCCTCCTTCTCATCCCAGCCCAGAGCTGTCCTGGGACAGAATCTGCTCCCTCAGTGGACATAGGGTGACAGTACCTCACCTGAGACCAGGAGCTCCAGGGGGTCGCTGGGCTGTGACAGCTGGAAGGGGGAGGAGCTGTGTGAGCTGTAGCACCTGTGCGCCCCAGGCCACAGGGCCGATGGTGAAGGTGGCCTGAGAGGGGGCAGCTGTGTCCTGCAGATGAAGCTGCTGGGGAGGATCCAGGGACCCCTCCCTGTGCAGGTGGAAGGTGTCAGCCCTGACCTCAGATCCACACTGCAGGGTCACATTCACTCCCCAGGGCACTGAGGACCCCGGCTGGACTGAGAGGGAGGGTTTGCTGTCCTTTCCTGGGGAGAGGAGGGCTGTGATGTGCAGAGGGTCACCCCTACATACCCTTGTCCCTGAGCCGAGGGACCATGTCTTTTACCAAGGACACTGACTGTGACCACGGTCAGCTCCTCTGTGTCCCTCTGAATGGGCATATTATTTCTCATGCCCCTCACTCCTTCTCTCTCCTGCCAGACCTCAGCCCCCTCAGCTCTGTGCTCCAGGACCCTCACCTAGACCGCGTCACCACCATGGTGACCCCAGGGCACAGCCCTGAGCAGACAGTCATGACTAGTGATGGGGCAGGGCTTCCTCACCTGCAATCAGGATGTCCAGGGGAGCGCTGGGGGCTGACCAGGCATAGGAGAGGTTGTGTCCACTGTAGCACCTGTACTGGCCCCCATGGGTGAGGTTCACAGGGCCAAGGGAGAAGTTCGGGCTCTGCTGCTTATGGAAATGCTGGAGGTGTGTGGGCCCCTCATTCTTGATCAGAGCGAATCTGTCAAACCCGGGCTCAGAGTGACACTGGAGGGTCAGGCTGTCTCCAGGCAGAAGCAGGGGGCCAGGCTGGGCTGAGAGGAAGGGCTCCCTGTACACACCTGGGGAGAAGGTCATTGTCACCCAGGGGACACAAACACCCACCACCCACTGGGGCTGCAGGGAGAGCTCTCACATGTCCCTCCCTAAGTGTCTTGCCTGTGGTTCTGCCCCCAGTAAACCCGAGTCACTGACCCCACAACCCCCAGGGCTTTACTAGGTACAAGATTTAAATCAGTTATTTGGGGCCCAGGAAAGAATTGCAGCCAAGTGTGGGTCACCTCACCTGTGACCTCGAGGTGCAGAGGGGCACTGGGCTGTGACCACACAGTGGGGTTGGAGCTGGAGGAGCCATAGCATCTGTAGGTCCCCCCATGGGAGGAGCTCACGGGACCCACAGGGAAGTCGGCCTGGCACCTCCTCTCATAGGATCTTTGTTCTGATTTCTTGTGTTGAAGCAGCTCAGCCCCTCCCTCTTTCAGCAGGTGGAAAGTGTCCCATGTGGACTGTGAGCTGCACAAGAGGGACACAGTCCCTCCTGAGGTCACCACAGGGCCTGGGTGGGCTGAGAGAGAGGGTCCACTGTGTTCTCCTGAGGGAGAAGGAGGATCTGAGTTAAAGGGAACTGTCACCCCACCTCCCACAGGAGTAGACTATGAGGGGTTAGGGCCCCCTAAAAACACAGTCTGTCCCCTTCATCCTCTGAGGAGGAGCCCTCAGTGGGGAGCAGACCCAGGTTCCCCCTTACCTGTCAGCACCAGGAGCAGGGGCTCACTCCTCTCAGACAGCCTTTCCCCAGTGCTGTATGCACACTGGTAAAGCCCTGTCATCTGTGAGTTCATGGACTGAATGAGGAACCCGGTCTTGTTGCTGGAGGCCTGTGGGATGCTTGTGTCCAAGGGCTCAGAACTCCTCTCTTTATACAGAATGTAGCCATCCGCCTGCAGAGACCCCTGACACCAGATGGTCACAGGGCTCCCCTTGCTGATGATGGGGCCTGGGTCAGCCCAGATGGAGGGTTTGGGGAAAACTCCTAGAAAGGAATCAGATCTGTAGGGTCAGGGGAGCCTTATTTCCTCAGTTTCCCCAGTTGTCACTCTAAGATCCCTCCTACACTAGTCGCCATCAGCCCAAACCCACTGTGTGTCTCCCAGCTACCCAGGGGCATCATTGTGCTGAAGGAGGAGGTCTGGTGGAAGACTCACCTGTTTGGACCTGGTCCCACGGACCCCAACGCAGCCCTGGAAGAAAGTTCCTGTGAGGTTAACCTTCAACTGATAGGACATGAGAGAAAAGGTATAGGATGGCTCAGGTTGTCTCTTTTCTAATCTTCAATGGGTCTCTCAAACTAATGGTACCCAACTCAATTTCTTGAGGTGACACCTCTGGGGTATGGACTTGCATTGCTTTGGAAAGACAAGATGCCCACAGGGGACTTCAATTTGTCCTGAATGTCAGGACATGAAGGAGTGATGGCTGGAGGTATGTTTTCATTGCTTCACCTCAGCTGCCTCCTTGTGTCTCTGACTCGGGAACATAATTTCCATGTCACATTCCTTTCTACTTCCTATCAGTCTTTTTTTCAAAAACATAAATAATAGACTGTGTACAGCACAGGTGGTTTTGGTTTTGAGAATTGCCAAATTTAACATAACCTCTAAATGTTCATTCAGCTTGTAAAGTAATAGGAATATTGGTAAGAAAGTAGCAAAAAGATAAATGAAAAAATCTTTAGATGCACAGCTGCATGAAAATACAGATCTCTACAGATCACAGATAGGATCCCATAATGTGACAAATGAAAGCACAGGACATACAGGGAACTCTGGGAGGGGGAGGGGGCACTGACAGGGGTTCAGGTGGGAGGTGTTTCAGAGGATGACCTGACACAGCTGACCAGCTGGTGTCATGGAAACAGAGTAGAAACCCAGCCATCCTCCCACACCGTGTAATGACAGTGGTTCCCCATGGAGACAGGACGAGCTCAGAGTGGACTCATGTTCTTCCTCCCACAGGGATTCTCTGGCATCAAATTTCTAAACTGACTGAGCTTTTTCAAATCCTGAATTAAATTCTGCTCTGATAGATGGAAAAACTGAGTTCCAGATACAGGTGATTTTGTCACTGGGGTTCATTTCAAGGAACCTGAGTCAAGTCTACTTTGATTTAGACTGTCTGAGGGCCCCCTTCATTCTAATCCACAAAGGAGAGGCCTCCCTGCCTCTCTCTCCTATGTGGGATTTTTTCCACAGGGACCAGAACAACTCAGGGGCCTAGAGTCAGCAACACAGACAGAGGCAGGTGCTGCTCCTGCTCTTTTCTCCCCACCTGACCTGGGCATCTTCCCCTTCATGGATTTCCTCCCCACCGATCACATGGGACCCAGTGACCTTCCTCCTGCTTGAGACAAGAAGCCCCTTCTTTATGTCTCCACCTTTATCCCCAGGACTTTAGGAAACAAGGCCTTCTGGAACTATTTGAAGTGTTGAAGGCTAAAGTGAGAAACAGTAAAAGTCTGGTGGAGTCTGTGTCTCCTCTGGGCTAAGGGGACTCTGCTACCCAACAGACATGAAGTTTGTCCCTGTGGAGGCAGGACTGCAGACCCCAGCTGCTGCATGACACAAGAACAGGGGAGGCTGTTGGTGTGCCTGCCTCCTCATGTCTCCTATAGTCCAGTAGATGTCCCCTAAATGTTGTCCCTTCACACACTTCAGTGTCTTAACTGAACACACCAGCACTGAATGGACCCTCAGGTGTGGTGAGGTATGGAGAGGGTCGGGGACTCCCCATCTTCTCTGTCTCTTTCTGGGGTGGGATTTCATTATTGTTGACCTCAATGTTTCCCCTCCTTCCTGTCCCAGCCCAGAGCTGTCCTGGGACAGAGTCTGTTCCCTCAGTGGGCATGGGATGGGGGTTCCTCACCTGAGACCAGGAGCTCCAGGGGGTCACTGGGCTGTGACAGCTGGAAGGGGGAGGAGCTGTGTGAGCTGTAGCACCTGTAGATCCCCTGGTGGCCCCAGGACACATGGCTGATGGTGAAGTTGGCCTGAGAGTGGGCAGCCGTGTTTTGCAGATGAAGCCGCTGGGGAGGATCCAGGGACCCCTCCCTGTGCAGATGGAAGGTGTCAGCCCTGACCTCAGATCGACACTGTAGAGTCACTTTCGCTCCCCAGGCAACCGAGGGCCCAGGCTGGACTGAGAGGGAGGGTTTCCTGTACATTCCTGGGGAGAGGAGGGCTGTGATGTGTCATCCCTCCACCTGTGCCCTTGACCCTGAGGTGAAGGACCATGTTCTTTCCCAGGGACTCTGACTGTGACCCATGTCAGCTCCTCTGTGTCCCTCTGGATGGGCATATTCTTTCTCATGACCCTCACTCCCTCCTTTCTCACTCCCTCTGCCAGACCTCAGCCCCTCAGCTATTTGTTCCAGGACCCTCACCTGGACTGTGTCACCACCATGGTGACCCCAGGCCAGAGCGCTGAGCAGACAGACTAGTGATGGGGCAAGTCTCCTCACCTGTAATCAGGATGTCCAGGGGGGCACTGGGGGCCGACCACACATAGGAAAGGTTGTGTCCACTGTAACACCTGTACCGGCCCCCGTGGGTGAGGTTCACAGGGCCCAGGTGGAAGTCAGGGCTGTGCTGCCCATGGAGATGCTGGTGGGGTGTGGGCCCCTCATCCTTGGTCAGAGCGAATCTGTCAGATCCGGGTTCTGAGCCACACTGGAGGGTCAGGCTGTCCCCAGGCAGCACAAGGAAACTTGGCTGGGCTGAGAGGGAGGGCTCCCTATACATACCTGGGGAGAAGAGTCATTGTCACCTAGAGGACACACAGATGCACTGCCCACCAGGGCTGCAGGAAGAGTTCTCATTTGTCCTTTCCTACACCTCCTATCTGTGGTTCTGTCCACAAAAACTCTCGTCAGTGATGCCCACATCCCCTAGGGCTTTACTAGACAAGAAGTTTAGATCAGTTATTTGGAGCACAGGAAAAAACTGAAGCCAAGTGTTGGCCACTTCTCCTGTGACCTCGATGTGCAGAAGGACACTGGGCTGTGACCACACATTGGGGTCAGAGCTGTTGGAACCATAGCATCTGTAGGTCCCCCCATGGGAGGAGTTCATGGGGCCAACAGGGAAGACAGCCTGCCACCTCCTCTCATAGAATCTCTGTTCTGATTTCCTGCATTGGGGCAGCTCAGCCCCTCCCTCCTTCAGCAGGTGGACAGTGTCCCATGTGGACTGTGAGCTGCACAAGAGGGACACGTTCCCTCCCGAGGTCACCACAGGGCCTGGGTGGGCTGAGAAGGAGGGTGGGCTGTACACTCCTGAGGGAGAAGGAGGATCTGAGTTAAAAAGGACCATAATCCCACCTTTCCCAGGAGTAGACTGTGAGGCGTGAGGCCCTCCTAAAACCTCACTTTGTCCACTTCATTCTGTGAGGAGGAACCTGTAGTGGGAGGGAAACCCAGGTTCCCCCTTACCTGTCAGCACCAGGAGCAGGGGCTCACTCCTCTCAGACAGCCTGCCCCCACTGCTGTATGCACACTGGTACAGCCCTGTGTGCTGTGAGCTCATGGACTGAATGAGGAACCCGATCTTGTTGCTGGAGGCCTGTGTGATCGTTGTGTTCAAGGGCTCAGAACTCTTCTCTTTATACAGAATGTAGCCATCTGCCTGCAGAGAACCCTGACACCAGATGGTCACAGGGCTCCCCTTGCTGACGATGGGGCCTGGGTCAGCCCAGATGGAGGGTTTGGGGGGAACTCCTGGAAAGGAATCAGATCTATAGTGTCAGGGGTGTCCTTGTCTCCTCAGTCTCCCCAACAGTCACTCCCAGGACCCTCCCACACTGGTCACTGCCAGCCAGGACCCACTCTGTGTCCTCAGCATCCCAGAAGCATCATTGTACTGAAGTAAGAGTTTTGGAGGTTTACTCACCTGCCTGGACCTGGTCCCATGGGCCCCAACACAGCCCTGGAAGAGAATTCCTGTGAAATTATCCTTCATCCACACATAGAAGCTCCAGGCCTGGTGTGGGCTTGTGAGTGCTGTGGTCAGACCTGGGGACATCTCCTCCCAGAAGCTTTGTCCCCACTGAATCTGCTCATTCCTGGGGTCTCTTGTATCCAGCACCTGAGAGATGATGGGATTCCATCCTTCATTGTTCCCCCAAAGCTCACCGAGACAGAGAAGGACACTGAGGGTCCAGGTCATGGTGCTTCCTGCCACGGTCACCAGTGTGCAGACAACATCTAGATTCACTGCAACACAGAGTAACAAATGGCGTGTCACGTGGTCTGACTTCTGTGTGACAGGACCTGGGTTCCTCATCAGTGGCCTGGCAGGGAGGGAAGCAGCCCCTCCCCGAAAGATAGGCCAGAACAGACAGCAAGCTCTGGACATTTCAGATCTGAGCCTCAGCGGATCCCACAGGCTCTGCACCCACCTCATGTGACACCCAAATGCAGAAGGTGACCCCTGTCCCAGAACATGAGGGTAGAGGACACCAGGCAGGACTCAGGAGCAGCCCAATTTCTGTTCCAATTATTACTCTGACCTTGAACTTTGTGTCCTTTGGTATGTCACTTCCCTCTTCTGAGACCCTGTAAGTGTCATTTTTCTTCCTCTTTCCCACTGGCCAGGGCCTCAGGCAATATGTACTGAGCAGTCACCCTGTGCTTTCATGGTTCCAGGCCCTGGAGAGTCACTGCTGAAGCTGCCAGCCTCTGTCCCTGGACTCACAGGGCTTAGAGGAATGAAGATAGGAAGACAGATGTGTGGATGGCAGATGGATCAATTACAGTCTCATGAGACTGTCCATGTTGGGGGAAAGAACAAGGCAGCGTGGTTCAATAACAGGGGGACATCCGGCAACAATGAGTCCTTATCAGGGATGGGATGACCCAAGGCATAAGCAGAAATCAGTCCAGAGGCCATGGGCAGGGAAAGGTCCTTGACCAGAATGAGCTGGGCCATTTCTCAGGAGTGGCCACAGTCAGATGAAGGCTGTGTTCTGAGCAAACAGAATCTGGAGCACTGTGCAAATGTCTGGAGTGCATTTGAAGTCAGTGGGATGGACAGGTTTATGTTTTAAAAAGGCTACCCCCACGTGAAAACGTCATGCCAGCAGGCTCTGCTGATAATGAACTCCATCAGTCATAAAACTCCAACATTCACCTGGCCCATGGATGGCGTGTTGATTAGTATTTTAAGTGAGTCACACAAACCTGTAATGCTGACTGCACTGACTGTTGAGTGGGATGAGACAGGACAGCTTTTGTTTCTGTCTCAATCTTGGGAACCACTCAGACTCGGTTCAGAGTGGCTGAAGGAACAGGAGGGGATACCACAGGATTTTGAAATAGCTCAGTTTCAGTGTGTGGTTTGGGGTGGAGGGGAGTGTGGTTAACAGGGTTGATTTGGTTGTGGAGAGTGAGTCATGTTTGCTGTGGCTGGTGGGTTTAGCTCCACCCTGAACACTGACAACCTTGAATGCCAGATGGTGCAACATGGATCTGTTCAGAGGGTGGGAGCTGGTGGAGGGGGCAGAGCAGGCAGCCTCAGACCAGGTCCCTTCTAGGAAGAGTCCTCAGGAGGTGGAGAGAGGAGTGACCTGGAGGAAGACATGAAGCCTGCATTGGAGGTGCAGGAAGGAGGGTGATGTGAGGACCAGGCATCTTGAGTGTTGTGATGGATCAGGAACATGGTTCAGAGGGGCTCAGTGGGGCATCATGGAGTGGAGTGGATGACCACCTTGGAAATGGGAGAGTGAGAAAGGAAGGCTGTTCTACCTTCTTCTTGGTGCCTGGAGGGGCCAGTGGGTCTGTCACCAGTAGGACCACTCTTGAGGAGAGTGTGGCATGAGGAGGTGCTGTGGAGAAGGGTCACTGATTGTCAGAAGAAAGTATGACCCTACTGGGACCGGGGATTTTCTTTCCCCAAACCGTTTCCTTCCCTGACTTCCTGTTTGTATCAGTCAGCACCAGCCTTTCCTTCACTGCCCCCTTCAAACCTCTGGGTCAGTTCTGCCTCCTCAGGGCCCCTCCTCCCCTGAGCAGAGCTCTTGCTCTCACACTGGGAACTCCCTCTGCAGCATCAGGTAAGAGCCCCTGTGTAGGGCAGCCAGGTTTTCAATGAAAAGAGACAGACCCAGGGATCTGTGAAGCAGTTTATATCCCTTAACTGGGAGCGAAATGGGAATGATATCTGTGAAGAAACATCATGTTGGAAGAAATAGATAGCCAACCATGTCATACACGTCTTCAGAGCCATAAGATTACCTGCCCAGGGAACTCAGCTATGAATCTTTGAAAACCAAGCCCACACACATCATGAGCATCGTCAAACTAGTCAAGGAAAATCGAATCCGCCCAGACAGAAATGGCACATCACACATGGAGGAACCATGGTTGGAGTGATTGCAGATTTCCCATCAGAAACCATGATGGTCAGAAGAGTTTAAAGGCCTGAGAGGCAAGAAAAGTTCACCTGGAATTTTTCTGGAAATTTTCTTCAGAATGAAAGTGAAATAAAGGAAACCTGAGCATCTGACCTGATTAGAAGAGAGAAGTTCTTCAAGCAGAAAGGAGATAATTCTAAAGGGATTTTGGAAATTCAAGAATTAAAGGAGAACAAACATATCCAAGCAAATATTTTTGTAAATATAATAGCATATTTTCTTCTCTTAAGTTTAAAAAATATATATGTGGCTGTTGAAAGCAGAAATGGGCACATCACCTGGTGTGGTGTGTGAGGTGTGTGGATGGACCACAGATTCCAATGGCAGCGCAAGGCAGTGGGTGTAAAAGGACCTGCACAGTTGTGAGGCTTCTGCATTGACCTTGCAGAGATGAAGTATAACCTCCTCTGTGCGGAATCTGTGAAATGAGGTTGTATATTATAATACTTACAACTGTCACTGAAAAAGCAACATACGAAGACTCATAGTTAGAATTCCAGTGGATAGATTAGAATGAAATACTAAAAACCTATCCCAAAACACAGAGAGCAGTGAAAGGAAACCTGAAGAGCAAAGAGCAGATGTGACCTGCAGATGCAAACAGTAAAGTGGGAAACCTAACACCACCTACATTACAGTACATGTAAGTGGTGAAAGCAGAAGTCAATGGCAGATTTTAGGAGTGCATTGATTTCTTCACTCTAGCATATATTAGTGAATGAACGGGTTTATTTCTTTTTTCAAAATATATTTTATTGATTGTGCTATTACAGTTGTCCCATTTTTCCCCCTTTATTTCCCTCCACCCTGCACACCCCCTCCCACCAGCATTCCCATCCTTTAGTTCGTGCCCATCAGTTTTTTGGCTTCTACATTTCCCATACTGTTCTTAACCTTCCCCTATTTTCTGCCTACTATCTATGCTACTTCTTCTCTGTACCTTTTTTCCCTCTCTCCCCCTCCCACTCCTCTCCTGATAATCCTCCATGTGATCTCCATTTCTGTGATTTTGTCCCTGTTCTAGTTGCTTGCTTAGTTATTTTCTTTAAGGTTTGATTGTTAATAGCTGTGAGTTTGTTGTCATTTTACTGTTCATAGTTTTGATCTCCTCTCTCTTAGATTAGTCCGTTTAACATATCATATAACAAGGGCTGGGTGATGATGAACTCCTTTAACTTGACCTTATCTGGGAAGCAGTTTAGCTCCTCTTCTATTCTAAATGCAAGCTTTGCTGGATAGAGCAATCTTGGATGTAGGTCCTTGCCTTTCATGACTTGGAATACTTCCTTCCAGCCCCTTCTTGCCTGCAAGGTTTCTTTTGAGAAGTCAGCTGAAAGTCTAATGGGATCCTTTATAAGTAACTATCTCCTTTTCTCTTGCTGCTTTTAAGTTTCTCTTCTTTTCTTTAATCTTGGCTAAGGTAAGTATGATATGTCTTCGTGGGTTTTTTTTGGGGACTCTCTGAGCTTCCTGGAGTTCCTGAAAGTCTATTTCCTTTGGCAGATTGGGGAAGTTCTCCTTCATTCTTTGTTGAAATAAGTTTTCAATTTCTTGCTCTTTTTACTTCTGGCACCCCTATGACTCAGATGTTGGAACATTTAAAGATGTCCTGGAGGTTCCTAAGCTTCTCCTCATTGTTTTGAATTCTTGTTTCTTCATTATTTTCTGGTCAAATATTTCTTTCTTCTTTCTGCTCCAAACCATTGATTTGAGTCCTGGTTTCCTTCCTGTCATGTTGGTTCCTTGTACATTTTCTTTTATTTTACTTTTCATAGCCTTCATTTTTTTCCTCTAATTTGTGACTATATTTCACCAGTTCTGTGAGCATCCTGATGACCAGTGTTTTGAACTGTGCATGTGATAAGCTGGCTATCTCTTCATCACTTAGCTGAGTTTTTTTCTGGAGCTTTGATCTGTTCTTTCATTTAGGCCATTTCATTTGTCTTGACAGGCCTTCGAGGTAGCAAGGGGAGGAGGCTTAAGTGTTCATAGGCAGGGCAACCCACATGTGTGCCTTATGACACTGTATGTGGGGGAGGATCTGGGAGGGAGCAGTGCTGCTTGCTCTGCTCTCTCCCAGTTTTCAGTCACTCCCCCTGCTACCCACAATCAAATTGGAATCTGCTGTTGCTGATTCCTGGGTGGTGGGTTTGTGTATGTTCCAGGACCCTGTTAGTCTCTGCAACAAACTGCCCTGTGAGGTTTGGAGTTTCTCTTACTGCCACCTCAACCACCACAGGTGTTTTCAGTCAGAGGCTTTGAGGCTTTATTTCCCAGTACTGGAACCCTGGGTTGCTTGGTCTGTCTCACTCCCCAGTTTTTCCTCCTAGTTTATCTGCACGCAAATGTGGGACCTTGTAGTCCATGAGCTGCTGCCTTGCCATGAGTCCTCTCCAGCAGGCTGCTCATCTGCGCCCCTCCTACAGGTCTGGATGAATGTTTGTTCTTTAACTCCTTGGTTGTTGGACTTTTATACAGTTTGATTTCCTGTCAGTTCTGGTTGTTTTTTTTCTTTTTAAATTTGTTGTTGTCATTGTTTTGGTTGTGGGAGGAGGCACAGTTTGTCTACCTACAGCTCCATATTGGGTGGAAATTATGGGTTTATTTCTGTAGCTTTGATTCTGTTCCATTTGTCTGTATCTCTTTTTTCCTCACAATTACCATATTGTTTTAATTATTACAACTTGTAGCATAATTTGATACCAGGCAGTGTGATGCCTTTAGCTCTATTCTTCTTTCTCAAGATTGCTTTGGGTATTGGTGGTCTTGAGTGGTTTTGTGTGAATTTCCCCCCCCCCCCCCCTATTATCACCTTTTGTATTTATGTGATAAGTGCAGTTGAAATTTTGATAGGGCTTGCACTGAATTTTTCAATTGGGCAGTATACACATTTCAGTGAATTCTTCCTAACTGTAAATGCAGGATATATTTCCATCCTTTTACCAAAGTCTTAGAGTTTTCAGTGTCCAGACCTTGCACCTCCTTGGCCATCGTCTGTTGTGTTTGATGTTATTGTAAATGGGAATAAATCTTTATTTCTTTTCCTGATTTTGTTAAATTTTACACACAGAAATGGCACTGATTCCTGAATGATTGTTGTGTGTCCTGCCATTTACTGAATTTGTTTTTAAGTTTTTACTATTTTTTGTGGAGTGTTTGGGGGGGGTTATATAAAAGATTGTATCATCCCACACAGTTTTATTTCTTTCTTTCCAGTTTGCATGGTCTGTGTTTCTTGTCCTTTTCTCATGGTTCTGCCTAGGACAGTTAGTGTGAGTTTCACAGGAGTGGGGAGAGTGGGCTTCCTTGTCCTGTTGCTGATCTCAGAAGAGAAACTCTCAGCTTTTCAGTGTTGAGTCTGATGTTGGCTGTGGGCTTCCACACGTGACCTTTATTGTGCTGAGGGGTGGTCATTCCATCCCCAATGTGTTGACAGTGGTTATTATGAAATGTTTTTTTTATGAAAAAAATGGTGTACTTTGTCCAATGTCTTCTCTAAATCTATTCAAACAGGCATATGTTTTATATCATTTACTTTATTATTGTGGTGAAAACCCTTATTGATTTTCACATGTTAAAGTATTGTTCACTACTATCAGGACCCTGTGTTAAATCCCATTTGGTCATGGTGTACAAGAGGTTTAATGTGCTTATGAATTCGTCATGCTAATGTTCATTGAGATATTTTGCATGTATGTTCAAGAAGAATATTGGTCTCTTGTATTATTTTTTTTGATTTATTCTTTGGCTGATGCCCTCTGTACCACTGTGCATTTCATTGAGTTACTTTTCCCAGCATGAAATTGATGGGTTTTATTTGATGATTTCTGTCTCTTTGTTGAATTTGCTGTTTGGTCCATGCAATGTTTTCCTGACTTTATTGAAATGTCTTTCTGTTTTTGTCTTGTAGTCATGGAGCGTCTTTTGAATTACATGCTGGGTAAATGGCAGTTCTCCCTGACGTTGGGTTAAGTTATTGGGATTTTATTATGGTCTTTGGTGATGGCTGACATTGTGATTCTTCCTGATCTGCGGAGTCATGTGTTCTCTTTTTGTATTTGATGCCACAGTCACCTCCTGCAAGCCCGACCAGCTGCCCTCAAGTGAGAGACCCTTTCTGTTGGTCCTGAGTGTGTCTGGGGCTTCTGGGACCTTGTGTGGATGGGCCGGCTTCGTGCTTGTGGCTCCCTCTTGTGGCAGGATTCTCAGGTTGTAGGTCTGGTCCTCATCTTTCAGTGTATCTGGCCAGTTGGTAAACTCTTGTCTATTTTTTTCCTTAATGTTATTTTAAATAATAGGCCATGACTTTTACAGACAGGGGCACCTAGTCCCCATGCCATCTCCAAGGTCCAGCTGACCCCATTGCAGTCTCAGACCTCCTCCTTGCTTTTTGATGGGATCAGAGGCATGTTAGGTCCTCAGGGGTCTCTGGAACTGAGCCTCCAAAACAAGCGTGTTGCTACTGCTCTGGGCAGGGCGAGCATGGGGCGGGGCTGCAAGGGACCCAGGGGCCAGCAGGGTCTGGGCTGTGTGCAGGGCTCTGGCCAAGCTGTGGGGGGATGGGTGCGAGCCCCTGAGCAGTTAAGGCAGAAGCGGGTTGGGGGCAGATCAACTTGGACAGGTTGTCGCTGCTGGTGAAGGGCTTGGAGCAGAGAAGGCAGGGGAGGGGCTTCTGTCCCCTGTGCACTCTGCAGGGACAGACTCCTGCCACTGTGCGGGAACTTCTTGTGGCATCCGTGCGTGTGGCAGGCGCGGGTGATGTGAGGTGCACGGACTTGAAGGAGCTTTAGTGCAGCCTGGGAAGGGAGTGCAGTGGCTCTTGGTGGTGGCGGCTCAGGCACAGGATCAGGCCTAGGAGCAGGAGGACAGGGACCAGAGGGAGGGGGACGGGAAGGGTGGTGCAGCGCCTCCTAGGGACTGGGGGCCACAATGCTGGTTCGTGGGGATCCTGGCTCCTAGAGCAAGTGTCATGGCAGTAACTTTGGGCCCAGGAGAGACACTCTCCTCATACCCACCCTCGGGTGGGGCCCCTGCTCTGTGCCTGGCTGGTCCAGTGCACTTTATGCCCAGGGAGCTGGACCTGAGCTCCTTGGGTGAAGTAATACTTGCAGGTAACCAGTGCCATTGGCCTAAAATGTGCGCCCCTGGGACTCAGTGTCCTTGATGGAACTGGGGAAGCACCAGGGGATGTGCAACACAGTGGGGAACACTCTCCTGGCCATCAAGAAGACAGAAGGGGAAGGGACTAGAGAAGAAAGTGTATGAATGACCCAGGAACACGGACCACAGGGTGGGAATTGAGTGGAGCCCGGTGGGGCGGGTGTGAAAGGGGCGGAGGAGAGTGTAGGGGGAAATCGGGAGAACTGTAGTGCAATAATAACTTTAAAATATTTTAAAAATAAAAAATAAATAACAGCAAAAAATAAAAAGGAAGGAAGAAAGGAGTATTTACAACCAGGAATTAGGGAAGTGATACAATCAGGCCTAATCAAAACAATGGTGTTTTCTGGGAGCTGGTTTACAAACACCCCTGACCACCACTCCACACACCTCTGGAGTTTCTGGAGCAAACACACCAGGTCCATCATCTGATACACAGAGCATCCTTCACCTGACTGGGCAGTGTTTTTCATGATGGTTTTGTATTTCTTCCTCCCAAACTAGTCTTTTACAGTGAAATTTATTGCAGTGTTATGAAGTCATACAATTACACAGGTGTCAGCGCTGACTGGTGTGGGTCAGTGGGTTGAACACTGGCCTGCAAACCAAAGGGTCTCCTGTTCTATTCTTGGTCAGGGCACACGGCTGGGTTTCAGGCCAGGCCCAGGCAGGGGGTGAATCAGAGGGAAGAAACCCGTGTTTCTGTGGCACATTGATGTTTCTCTCCCTCCTTTCCCCTCTCTAGGAAATAAATAATAAAATCTTAAGAATATTACAGAGGTTTCAAGCACATGGTTCTATGATACATCATCAGTATATGGCACTGAGTTCTTCCAAAATCAAATCTCTCCTCACCATAGATTTCACTCTCTTCACCCTCCTCTGTCTCACTCTGACCCCTTCCCCTGGTGACCACCAGTGTGTTGTCCATGTCCACCAGTTGAAAGAATTCCTGGTTTTTATTCTTTTAACCAGTTATTTAAGAAAGATTTATTGCCTGACCCAGAGACATACAGAATCAGCAAATGTGGACAATAAAAGAAAGAAAATGTCCTGCATGAAAGTGGACCAGAGATGAAGGGGGAACCCAGGGGTGGATCTGAACCTGTGATGTGGGCTGAGCCCCAGGTCACAGGGGTGAGAACAGAGGCGCAGCCAAGGAAGGTCAGCAGTGCAGTGAGGGGAGACACCCACAGTCTAGCTGTGGGGAAGCCTCTGCAGCCCCAGCCCCGCCTCTCCCTGCAGGGGAACCACGCCCACACCCTCCACATTCTCAGCAGACTCTTTCCCAGGGGCACCCACATTTTCCTCCAGAGCTTCCTGGGGTCATCAGACTCTTCTCCAGGCTCTGCCTCAGTGACTGGTGGTTTGTTGTCCCCTGTGTTCAACTCCTGGCTGCATTGTGGGGTCTTCTCCAACTGTGCCAAGCTTCACACAGCAGCACCCCGAGGACCACGAGGATGAAGCCAGACACACCCAAGCGGATGAGGTTCCCCACTGTGTAGTCTTGGGGGTGATGAGGAAGGAATTGTGAGTAAAGAGATCCCAGAAGTCAGGACAGGCTCCAATCACCCCAGTCCCCCTGCATGTCCACCAGGACACCTGCATCTCATGGACCAGTTTTGATGCTCTGAGCACAGCCTCATAATTGAGAATTTCTCCTCCTCTCTACTCTTGGAATCTGAGTTGTTTCCCATCATCCCAGAGGATCAGCAGCTCCAGAGGAAAAGAAAACCAACAGGATATGAGAGGAGAAAACTAGAATGGCTTCAGTCATCTCTTCTCTCATCTTCAATGTGTCTCTCAAACTAATGGTTCCCAACCCAACTCCGCCAGGTGAGCATTTCTGGGGCCTGGACTTGCATTGCTTTGGAAAGCCAAGATGCACACAGGGGACTTCAATTTGTCCAGAATGTCAGGACATGAAGGAGTGACAACTGGATCTACCTTTTCACTACTTCACCTCAGCTGTCTCCTTGTGTCTCTGAGTTGGGAACATAATTTCCACATCACAATCCTTTCTTCTTTCTCAATTATTCTTTTTAAAGAGATAGATGATGGAATATGTACAACATAGATATTTTTGGTATTGAGATTTACCAAAGTTAACAGAATCTCTAAGTGTTCATTGAGCTTGTAATCTACCAGGAAGATTGGTAAGAAAAGGGCAAAAAAAAGAAAAAAGAAAATCTTTAGATGCATAGCTGCATGAAAATACAGATCTCTGTAGATCACAGACAGACCCTGATGATGTGACAAATGAAGTCACAGGTAATACAGGGAACTCTGGGAGGGAAAGGGGGCACTGATGGGAGTTCTGGTGGGAGGTGTATCGGAGGATGACTGACACAGCTGACCAGCTGGTGTCATGGAAACAGAGCAGAAGCCCAGCCATCCTCCCACACCCGTGTAATGACAGTGGTTCCCCATGGAGACAGGACGAGCTCAGAGTGGACTCATGTTCTTTCTCCCACAGGGATTCTCTGGCATCAAAGTTGTAAACTAACTGAGCTTTATGAGATCCTGGAATGGATTGTGCTCTGATAGATGGGAGAACTGAGTCCCAGATATAGGTAGAATTTTGTCGGTGGGACGCACATCAATGGGGCTGAGCCAGCTCCATATCAGTTCAGACTGTCAGAGGATCTCTGACTCCTATCCCTGGTTATGACTCACCCTGACCCACAATGGGAGCCTCCTTGACTGTGTCTCCCATGTGGGCGTGATTTTACGAGAACCAGAACAGCTCAGGGGCCCTGAATCAGCAACACTGACATAGGCAGGCATGGCTCCTTCTGTTTTCACCCCACCTGGGCTGGGCGTCTTCCCCTTCACGTATTTCCTCCCCACTGATCACATGGGACCCAATGACCACCCTGCTCCTTGAGACAAGAGGTCCCTTCCTTACATCTCCAACTTTATCCCCAGGACTTTGGGAAACAAGGCCTTCTGGAACTATTTGAAGTATTGAAATGTAAAATGGTGGAGTGTGTGTCTCCTCTAGGCTAAGGGGACTCTGCTACCCAACAGATACTACCTTTGCCCATGTGGAGGAGGGTCTGCAGACCCCAGCTGCTGCCTGACACAGGAACAGGGGAGGCTGTGGGTGTGCCTGCCTCCTCATGTCTCCTATAGTCCAGTAGATGTCCCCCAAATGTTGGCCCTTCACACACTTCAGTGTCCTCTGTCCACACACCAGCCCTGGATAGAACCTCAGGTGGGGTGAGGCATGGAGAGGGTGGGGACTCCCCATCTTCTCCATCATTTATGGGGTGTGATTCCTTCTATTGCTGACCTCACTGATTCCTCCTCCTTCCCGTCCCAGCCCAGAGCTGTCCTGGGACAGAATCTGCTCCCTCAGTGGACATAGCGTGACAGTACCTCACCTGAGACCAGGAGCTCCAGGGGGTCGCTGGGCTGTGACAGCTGAAAGGGGGAGGAGCTGCGTGAGCTGTAGCACCTGTAGGTCCCTCTGTGGCCCCAGGTCACAGGGCTGATGGTGAAGTTGGCCTGAGAGGGGGCAGCTGTGTCCTGCAGATGAAGCTGCTGGGGAGGATCCAGGGACCCCTCCCTGTGCAGGTGGAAGGTGTCAGCCCTGTCCTCAGATCGACACTGCAGGGTCACATTCGCTCCCCAGGTAACCGAGGGCCCAGGCTGGACTGAGAGGGAGGGTTTCCTGTACATTCCTGGGGAGAGGAGGGCTGTGATGTGCATAGAGTCATCCCTCCACCTGTGCCCTTGACCCTGAGCTGAAGGACCATGTTCTTTCCCAGGGACTCTGACTGTGACCCATGTCAGCTCCTCTGTGTCCCTCTGGATGGGCATATTCTTTCTCCATGACCCTCACTCCATCCTTTCTCACTCCCTCTGCCAGACCTCAGCCCCTCAGCTATTTGTTCCAGGACCCTCACCTGGACTGTGTCACCACCATGGTGACCCCAGGCCAGAGCTCTGAGCAGACAGTCATGACTAGTGATGGGGCAAGTCTCCTCACCTGTAATCAGGATGTCCAGGGGGGCACTGGGGGCCGACCACACATAGGAGAGGTTGTGTCCACTGTAGCACCTGTACTGGCCCCCATGGGTGAGGTTCACAGGGCCAAGGGAGAAGTTGGGGCTGTGCTGCCCATGGAGACGATGGAGGGGTGTGGGCCCCTCATCCCTGGTCAGAGCGAATCTGTCAAAGCTGGGCTCTGAGTGACACTGGAGGGTCAGGCTGTCTCCAGGCAGCAGCAGGGGCCCTGGCTGGGCTGAGAGGGAGGGCTCCCTGTACACACCTGGGGAGAAGGTCATTGTTACCCAGGGGACACACACACCCACCCACCACCTACTGGGGCTTCAGGGAGAACTCTCACATGTTTCTCCCTAAGTCTCTTGCCTGTGGTTCTGTCCCCAGTAAACTGGAGTCACTGACCCCCACAACCCCCAGGGCTTTACTAGGTACAAGATTTAGATCAGTTATTTGGGGCCCAGGAAAGAACTGAAGCCTAGTGTGGGCCACCTCACCTGTGACCTCGAGGTGCAGAGGGGCACTGGGCTGTGACCACACATTGGGGCTGGAGCTGGAGGAGCCATAGCATCTGTAGGTCCCCCCATGGGAGGAGCTCACGGGACCCACAGGGAAGTCGACCTGGCACCTCCTCTCATAGGATCTGTGTTCTGATTTCTTGTGTTGAAGCAGCTCAACCCCTCCCTCTTTCAGCAGGTGGAAAGTGTCCCATGTGGACTGTGAGCTGCACAAGAGGGACAGGTTCCCTCCTGAGGTCACCACAGGGCCTGGGTGGGCTGAGAGGGAGGGTGCGCTGTGTTCTCCTGAGGGAGAAGGAGGATCTGAGTTAAAGGGAACTGTCACCCCACCTCCCCCAGGAGTAGACTGTGAGGGGTTAGTTCTCCCTAAAACCACACTCTGTCCCCTTCATCCTCTGAGGAGGAGCCCTCAGTGGGGAGCAGACCCAGGTTCCCCCTTACCTGTCAGCACCAGGAGCAGGGGCTCACTCCTCTCAGACACTGTGCCCCCAGTGCTGTATGCACACTGGTACACCCCTGTGTTCTGTGAGTCCATGGACTGAATGAGGAACCCGGTCTTGTTGCTGGAGGCCTGTGGGATGCTTGTGTCCAAGGGCTCAGAACTCCTCTCTTTATACAGAATGTAGCCATCTGCCTGCAGAGACCCCTGACACCAGATGGTCACAGAGCTCCCCTGTCTGATGATGGGGCCTGGGTCAGCCCAGATGGAGGGTTTGGGGTGAACTCCTAGAAAGGAATCAGATCTGTAGGGTCAGGGAAGCCTTATTTCCTCAGTTTCCCCAGTTGTCACTCTAAGACCCCTCCTACACTAGTTGCCATCAGCCCAAACCCACTGTGTGTCTCCCAGATACCCAGGGGCATCATTGTGCTGAAGGAGGAGGTCTGGTGGAAGACTCACCTGCTTGGACCTGGTCCCACGGACCCCAACGCAGCCCTGGAAGAAAGTTCCTGTGAGGTTAACCTTCAACTGATAGGACATGAGAGAAAAGGTATAGGATGGCTCAGGTTGTCTCTTTTCTAATCTTCAATGGGTCTGTCAAACTAATGGTACCCAACTCAATTTCTTGAGGTGACACCTCTGGGGTATGGACTTGCATTGCTTTGGAAAGCCAAGATGCCCACAGGGGACTTCAATTTGTCCTGAATGTCAGGACATGAAGGAGTGATGGCTGGAGGTATGTTTTCACTGCTTCACCTCAGCTGCCTCCTTGTGTTTCTGACTCGGGAACATAATTTCCATGTCACATTCCTTTCTACTTCCTATTAGTCTTTTTTTCTTTCTTTTTTTTTAAATTTATTTATTTATTTATTTATTTAAAAAATTTTTTTATTGATTATGCTGTTACAGTTGTTCTATTCCCCCCTTTATTCCCCTCCACCCTACCCCCCATCCCCACCATCACCCCCCCTTTAGTTTATGACCATGTGTCTCAAGTCCTTTAGATTCTATATTTCCCATGCTATTCTTGCCCCCCCTTCTATTTTCTATCTACTGTCTATGCTACTTATTTTCTGTACCTTCTCCCCCCTTCTCCTCCTCCCACTCCCCTGTTGCTAACCCTCCTTGAGATCTTCATTTCTATGTTTCCACTCCTGATCTAGCTGTCCTTGTAGTTTGCTTTCGTTTTAGGTGTGGTTGTTAATAACTGAGTTTGTTGTCCTTTCACTGTTCATGTTTCTTTAACTTCTTTTTCTTAGATAAGTCCCTTTAACGTTTCATATAATAAGGGCTTGGTGATGATGAACTCCTTGAATTTGATCTTATCTGAGAAGCACCTTATCTGTCCTTCCATTTTAAATGAAAGTTTTGCTGGATAGAGCAATCTTGGTTGTAGGTCTTTAGATTTCATGACTTGGAATACCTCTTTCCAGCCCCTTCTTGCCTGTAAGGTCTCTTTTGAGAAATCCGCTGACAGTCTGATGGGGACTCCTTTGTAGGTGACTGTCCCCTTAGCTCTTGCTGCTTCTAGGATTCTCTCCTTCATTTTAATCTTGGCTAATGTAATTACGATGTGCCTTGGTGTGTTCCTTCTTGGGTCCAACTTCTTTGGGACTCTCTGAGCTTCCTGGATTTTCTGGAAGTCTATTTCCTTTGCCAGATTGGGGAAATTCTCTTTTATTATTTGTTCAAATAAGTTTTCCACTGGTGGCTGTGCCTTTCCCCCTTCTGGTACCCCTATAATTCAGATGTTGGAGCGTTAAAAATGTCCTGGAGGTTCCTTAGACTCTCCTCATTTCTTTGAATTCTTGCTTCTTTACTCTTTTCTGTTTGGCCATTATTTGCTTTCTTCTGGTCCACTCCATTGATTTGAGTCCCAGTTTCCTTTTCATTGCTATTGGTGTCCTGTGCAATTCCATTCATTTCAATTAGTTTCGCCTTCATATATTTGTCTAATTTGTCGGTATAATCAACCAGTTCTGTGAGGATCCTGATCACCAATTTTTTAAACTGTGCGTCTGAGAGTTTTGCTATTTCTTCATCGCTTAGATTTATTTCTGGGGCTCTGAGATCCTCCTGCGCCATTCTTGGTCTGTTCTGGCCCTTTAAGTGGGAGGAGCGACGCCTTGGATTCCCAGGTCGCTGGGTTGTGACGCTGTATGTGGGGGCGTGGCCAGAGCGGGGAAATGGCAACCACTCTGCCGCTTCTCGCAGCTGGGTGCGGAGGAGCAGTGCCTTAGGTGGTTCACCTGGGCCGGGCCACTCAGAGTCGCTGGGTTATGACGCTGTATGTGGAGGTGGGGTCAGAGCAGGGAAATGGCGGCGCCCTCCACTGCGGCTAGCGGTGGGGACCTGCCGGCCGGTCCAACCGCCCACTCCCTCGCCTGTCCACCCTCGCACAAATGCGCGACCTCAGTCAACATGCAGCCCCGGGCCGGGCTGTCTCCCCTGAGGTCGCTCACCTGGTTGCTCGCTGGGTCGCTCACTAGGTCTGACCCTGCGCCTGGATTCCGCTGGCCGAGTTCTCCTGTGCAACCCTGCTCCGCCAGCCGCTGGTTTTGCCCCTTACCGGTCAGGCTGAAGAATTTGTTGTTAACGGACTTCCGAAAAGTTCAATTTTCCGTGTTCTGGCTGTGTTTTCTGTTGCTAATATTTAGTTTTCTCTAATCTTGGTTGTGGGAGAAGGCACGGCACATCCACCTATGCCTCCATCTTGGCGGAAGTCCCTTTTTTTCAAAAACATAAATAATAGACTGTACAGCACAGGTGGTTTTGGTTTTGAGAATTGCCAAATTTAACATAACCTCTAAATGTTCATTCAGCTTGTAATGTAATAGGAATATTGGTAAGAAAGTAGCAAAAAGACAAATGAAAAAGTAAAGTCTTTGGATGCACAGCTGCATGAAAACACAGATCTCTGTAGATCACAGACCGGCCCTGATGATGTGACAAATAAAGTCACAGGTAGTGCAGGGAACTCTGGGAGGGGGAGGGGGCACTGACAGGAGTTCTGGTAGGAGGTGTATCAGAGGATGACCTGCCCTAGCTGACCACCTGGTGTCATGGAAACAGAGTAGAAGCCCAGCCATCCTCCCACACCCAGGTAATGACAGTGGTTCCCCATGGAGACAGGACCAGCTCAGAGTGGACTCATGTTCTTTCTCCCACAGGGATTCTCTGGCATCCAAGTTCTAAAGTAACTGAGCTTTTTCAAATCCTGAATTAAATTCTGCTCTGATAGATGGAAAAAATGAGTTCTAGATACAGGTGATTTTGTCACTGGGGTTCATTTCAAACAACCTGAGTCAAGTCTACTTTGATTTAGACTGTCTGAGGGCCCCCTTCACTCTAATCCACAAAGGAGAGGCCTCCCTGCCTCTCTCTCCTATGTGGGATTTTTTCCACAGGGACCAGAACACAGACAGAGGCAGGTGCTGCTCCTGCTCTTTTCTCCCCACCTGAGCTGGGCATCTTCCTCTTCATGGATTTCCTCCCCACTGATCACATGGGACCCAATGACCTTCCTCCTGCTTGAGATAAGAAGCCCCTTCTTTATGTCCCCACCTTTATCCCCAGGACTTTAGGAAACAAGGCCTTCTGGAACTACGTGATGTGTTGAAGTATAAAGTGAGAAACAGTTGAAGCCTGGTGGAGTCTGTGTCTCCTCTGGGCTCTGAGGATTCTGCAAACCAACAGATATGAAGTTTGTCCCTGTGGAGGAGGGTCTGCAGACCCCAGCTGCTGCATGACACAGGAACAGGGGAGGCTGTGGGTGTGCCTGCCTCCTCATGTCTCCTACAGTCCAATACATGTCCCTCAAATGTTGTCTCCTCATGTACTTCAGTCTCCTCCTTGCAAATACCACTCCTGGATGGACCCTCAGGTGGGGTGAGGCATGGAGAGGGTGGAGACTCCCCATTTTCTCTGGCATTTATGCGTTGGGATTTCCCCCTACTGCTGACCTCACTGATTCCTCCTCCTTCCTGTCCCAGCCCAGAGCTGTCCTGGGATGGAGTCTGCTCTTTCAGTGGATGTGGGGTGGGGGGGGTCCCTCACCTGAGACCAGGAGCTCCAGGGGGTCACTGGGCTGTGACAGCTGGAAGGGGGAGGAGCTGTGTGAGCTGTAGCACCTGTAGATCCCCTGGTGGCCCCAGGTCACAGGGCTGATGGTGAAGTTGGCCTGAGAGGGGGCAGCTGTGTCCTGCAGGTGAAGCTGCTGGGGAGGGTCTAGGGACCCCTCCCTGTGTAGGTGGAAGGTGTCAGCACTGACCTCGGATTCACACTGTAGGATCACGTTTGCTCCCCAGGACACTGAGGGCCCAGGCTGGGCTGAGAGGGAGGGTTTCTGGTACATTCCTGTGGAGAAGAGGGCAGTGATGTGCAGACGGTCACATCCTCCCCTGTGTCCTTGACCCTGATCTGAGGACCATGACCTTCTCCTTCCCCAGCTACACCCGATGACCATTTTCACCTCCTTTCAGTCCCTCTGATTGGGCATCTCTTATCTTCATTCTCCTCACTCCCTTTTTCTCCCTCTCAGGCCTTCCCAGCCTCTGCTCCAGGACCTCACTTGGACCCCATCATCACCATGGTGACCCCAGGCCTGAACCCTGGGTGGACAGCCAGGACAGGGGGCAAGGAAGGCCTCCTCTCTTGCAATCAGGATGTCCAGGGGGGGCTGGGGGCCGACCACACATAGGAGAGGTTGTGTCCACTGTAACACCTGTACCGACCCCTGTGGGTGAGGTTCACAGGGCCCAGGGGGAAGTCGGGGCTGTGCTGCCCATGGAGACTCTGGAAGGATGTGGGCCCCTCATCCTTGGTCAGAGCAAATGTGTCAAATCTGGGTTCAGAGTGATACTGGAGGGTCAGGCTGTCTCCAGGCAGCACCAGGGTGCTTGTCTTGGCCAAGAGGGAGGGCTCCCTGTACACACCTGGGGAGAAGGGTCATTGTCACCCGGAGGACACACACACCCACCACCCACTGTTGCTGAAAGGAGAGCTCTCATTTGTCCCTCCCTAAGTCTCTTCCCTGAGGTTCTGTCCCCAGTAAATCAATGTCACTGATCCTCACATCCTCCAGGGCTGTACTAGACACAAGGTTTAGATTAGTTATTTGGGGTCCAGGAAAGAACTGAAGCCTAGTGTGGGCCACCTCACCTGTGACCTCGAGGTGCAGAGGGGCACTGGGCTGTGACCACACATTGGGGTTGGAGCTGGAGGAGCCATAGCATCTGTAGATCCCCCCATGGGAGGAGCTCTGGGGGCCCACAGGGAAAACAGCCTGCCACCTCCTCTCATAGGATCTCTGCTCTGATTTCCTGTGTTGGGGGGCTAAGCCCCACTCTCCTTCAGCAGGTGGAAAGTGTCCCATGTGGACTCTGAGCTGCATGAGAGGGACCCCTTCCTTCCTGAGGCCACCACTGGGCCTGGCTGGTCTGAGAGGGAGGGTGCACTGTGCTCTCCTGAGGGAGAAGGAGGATCTGAGTTAAAGGGGACTTTCACTCCACCTTCCCCAGGTGTGTGCTGTGAGCAGTGAGGTCCCCCTAAAACCTCATTCTGTTCTTTTGCATCTTCTGAGGAGAAGCCAATAGTGTGGAGGAGACCTGGTTCCCCCTTACCTGTCAGTACCAGGAGCAGGGGCTCACTCCTCTCAGACAGCCTGCCCCCAGTGCTGTATGCACACTGGTACAGCCCTGTGTGCTGTGAGCTCATGGACTGAATGAGGAACCCGGTCTTGTTGCTGGAGGCCTGTGGGATGCTCGTATCTGAGGGCTCAGAACTCCTCTCTTTATACAGAATGTAGCCATCTGCCTGCAGAGACCCCTGACACCAGATGGTCACAGAGCTCCCCTTGCTGACGATGGGGCCTGGGTCAGCCCAGATGGAGGGTTTGGGTGGAACTCCTGGAAAAAAAAATCAGACCTGCAGAATCAGGAATGTCCTTGTCCCCTCAGTGTCCCCAGCCCTCACTCTAAGATCTTTCCCATACTGGCCACCATCTGACCAGAACCACTGTGTGTCCCTTGGCTCCCCAGGGGGTACCATTGTGCTGAAGCAGGAGATCTGGGGGAGGACTCACCTGCCTGGACCTGGTCCCACAGGCTCTGACACAGCCCTGGAAGAGAGTCACTGTGAGATTTTCCTTGAACCCACACACAGAAGCTGCAGGCCTGGTCTGGACCCCTGAGTGTTGGAGTCAGACCTGGGGCTGTGCCACCTCTTCTCCCCCTGAAGTTGTGTCCCCACTGAGACTCCTCATTTCTGGGGTCTCTTGCAACTGTAACCTTGGGCATATAGGGTCCCATCCCTCCTCTTTCCCCCAAAGCTCACCGAGACAGAGAAGGACAGTGAGGTTCGGGGTCCTGGTGCTTCCTGCCATGGTCACCAATGTGCAGACGATGTATAAATTCACTGCAACTCAGAGTAACAAATGGGGTGTTACATGGTCTCAGCTCTGTGTGACAGGTCCTGGGTTCCTCATCAGTGGCCTGGCAGGAAGGGAAGTAGCCCCTCCCTGAAGGATGGGCCAAAGGAGACAGCAACCTCTGGACATTTCAGATCTGAGTCTCAGCAGACCCTACAGGCTCTGCACCCACCTCATGTGACATCCAAATCCAGAGGGTGACCCCTGTCCCAGAATGTGTGGGTAGAGGACACCATGCAGGACTCAGCAGCAGCCCAATTTCTGTCCCAGTTTTGACTCTGCTCTGCCTTTTCTTCAACTTTGTGTCCTTGGGTCAGTCACTTTCCTTTCCTGAGACCCTGTAAGTTCCCTTTCTCTTCCTCTTTCCCACTGGCCAGGCCCTCAGGCAGCATGTACTGAGCAGTCGCCTTGTGCAGTCACAGTGCCAGGTCCTGGGCAATCACTGCTGAAGCTGCTGGACTCTGTCCCTGGACTCACAGGGCTCAGAGGAATGAAGATAGACAGGTAGATATGTGGACGGCAGATGGATCAGTTACAGTCTCGTGAGATTGTCCATGTCAGGAGAAGTAACAAGGCAGTGAGGTTCAATAACAGGGGGACATCATGCAACAAGGTGTCCTTCTCAAGGATGGGCTGACCCAAGGCATGAGCAGGGATCAGTCCAGAAGTGATGGACTTGGGGGCGTTCTTGAGGAGAATGAGATTGGGCTGTTCTCAGAAGTGGCAGTTGTCAGGCAAAGGCTACGTCCTGATAGTATAGGATCTGGAGCACCGAGCAAATAGTTTGGGTTTTATCTTGGAGTCAGTGGAAAATAGGCTAAGCAGCAGAGGCTACAAAGAGATTTTTGTTTTAAAAAGGCTACCCCTACATGAAAACGTCATACCAGCAAGCTCTATTGATAATGAGCTCCATCAGTCATAAAACTCCAACATTCATCTGGCCCATGAATGGCGTGTTGATTAGTATTTTAAGTGATTCACACAAACCTGTAATGCTCACTGAGCTGACAGTTGACTGGGGTGAGACAGGACAGCTTTCGTTTCTGTCTCAGCCTTGGGAAGGAGGAGACTCGGTTCAAATCAGCTGAGGGAACAGCAGAGGAAAGCACAGGATTTTTAAATAGCTCAGTTTCTGTGTGTGGTTTGGGGTGGAGGAGAGTGTGGTTAACTGGTGGTTTCGGTTTTGGAGGGTGAGTTGTTTGCTGGGGCTGGTGAGTTTAGCTCCCCCCTGAACACTGATAGCCTTGAATGCCAGCCGGTGTAACATGGATCTGTTCTGAGGGTGGGAACTGGTGGAGGGGGCAGAGCAGGCAGCCTCAGACCAGGTCCCTTGTAGGAAGAGTCCTCAGGAGGTGGAGAAGAGTGAACTGGAGAAAGGCATGAAGCCTGCATTGCAGGTGCAGGAAGGAGGGTGATGTGATGACCAGGCATCTTGAGTGTTGTGATGGATCAGGGACACGGTTCAGAGGTGCTCTGTGAGGCATCATGGAGTGGAGTTGATGACAGTCAGAGAAGTGGGGGAGTCCGAAAAAAAAAAGGGGTGTTCCACCTTCTTCTTTGTGTATGGATTGGCCAGTGGGGCTGTCTCCAGTAGGATGGCCCCAGGAGAGAGGGCAGCATGGGGAGGAGGTGCTGCAGAAACTGGTCACCATTTCTTGGAAGAAACTACAGCCCTGATGGGACAATGAATTTTCTTTCCCCAAACAGTTCCCTTCATTGACTTCCTGCTCGTATCAGTCAGCACCAGCCTGTCCTTCATTGCCCCCTTCAAACCTCTGGGTCAGTTCTGCCTCCTCAGGGCCCCTCCTCCTCTGACCAAAGCTCTTCCTCTCACACTGGGAACTCCCTCTGCAGCATCAGGTAAGAGCCCCAGTGTAGGGCAGCCAGGTTTTCAATGAAAAGAGACAGACCCAGGGATCTGTGAGGCAGTTTATGTTCCTGAATCAGGAGTAAACTGAGAACAATATCAAAGAAGAAACACAATATTGTACTGTTGTGTTAAAAATAGTTAGGTGACCATGCCATAAATAACTTGAAAGCCATAAATTTACCTGTCCAAGGAACTCAGCTATGAATCTTTGAAAACCAACCCCACATGCATCATGAGCATCATCAAACTAGTCAAGGAAAATCGAATCCGCCCAGACAGAAATGGCACATCACACATGGAGGAAACATGATTGGATTGACGCAGATTTCCCATCAGAAATCATCATGGTTAGAAATTCAAATTCCTGAGAGGTGAGAAAAGTTCAGTGGAATTCTCAATATATTCTTCAGGAAAGGAAGTGAAATAAAGGAATACCGACCATAGGACCTTTTTAGAAGAGAGATCTTCAAGCAGACAGGAGATCATTCTAAAGGGATCCTTGGAAATTCAAGAATTAGAGAAGAACCAACATGTCTAAATGAATATTTATGTAAATGTAATAGCATATTTCCTCCTCTTAACTTAAAAAAATATATATATATGGCTGTTGAAAGCAGAAATGAGCACATCACCTGGTGGGGTGTGTGAGTTGTGTGGATGGACCACAGATTCCAATGGCAGCACCAGGCAGTGGGTGTAAAGGGACCTGCACAGTTGTGAGGCTTCTGCGTGGGCCTTGCAGAGATGAAGTATAACCTCCTCTGTGTGGAATCTGTGAAATGAGGTTGTATATTATAGTACTTACAACTGTCACTGAAAAAGCAATGTACAAAGACTTATAGTTTGAATTCCAGTGGATAGATTAGAATGGATACTAAAAAACCATCCCAAACACAGGGAGCAGTGAAAGGAAACCTGAAGAGCGAGGATCAGATGTGACCTGCAGATGCAAACAGTAAAGTGGGAATCCTAACACCACCTACATTACATTAGATGTAAGTGATGAAAGCACAAGAAAATGGCAGATTTTAGGAGCGTGTTAAAATACTGGATTTCTTTACTCTAGCATATATTAATGCATGGCTTTGTTTTGTGTCTTTTTAAAATATATTTTATTGATTGCACTATTACAGTTGTCCCATTTCCCCCCCTACCCTCTTCTCTGCCCTGAACACTCCTTCCCACCCACCTTCCCCCACTTTAGTTCATATCCATGACTCATACATATAAGTTCTTTGGCTTCTACATTTCCCATACTATTCCTACCCTCCCCCTGTCTATTTTCTACCTACCATCTATGCTACTTATTCTCTGTACAGTTTCCCCCTCTCTCCTTCTCCTACTCCCCTGTTACTAACCCTCCATGTGATGTTCATTTTTGTGGTTTTACTTCTGTTCTAGTTGTTTGCTTAGTTTCTTTTTGTTTTAGGTGGAGCTGTTAATAGTTGTGAGTTTGCTGTCATTTTACTGTACATGTTTTTTTATCTTCTTTTTCTTAGATAAGTCCCTTCAACATTTCATATAATAGGGACTGGGTGATGATGAACGCCTTTAACTTGACTTTATCTGAGAAGCAGTTTATCTGCCCTTCCATTCTGCACTCTTTCCTGGTTGAGTGCTTATTTCTTCTGCTCCAAACTGTTGATTTGAGTCCTGGTTTCCTTCCCATCACTGTTGGTTCCCTGCATCTTTTTTTTTTATATCACTTTTCATAGCCTTCATTTTGTCCTCTAATTTGTGACCATATTTAACCAATTCTGTGAAAATCCTGATCAGTGCTTTGAGCTGTGCATGTGATAGGCTGGCTATCTCCTTCTCACTTAGTTGTGTTTTTTTCTGGAGCTATGATCTGTTCTTTCCTTTGGGCCATTGCATTGGCCTTGGTGGGCCTGTAAGGTAGTAAGGAAAGGAGCCTTAGGTGGTCAGCAGGGCGGGGCAACCCACACTTCTGTGTTGTGACACTGTATTGGGGGAGGATCCAAGAGGGAACAGTTCTGCTTGCTATGCTCTCTACTGGTTTTCAGTCACTTCCCCCACTGCTCACAATCAAATTGGGCCCTTCTGTTGCTGATTCCTGGGAGGGTGGGTTTGTGTACATTCTAGGACTCTGTGGGTCTCTCCAAAGACCTCTCCTGTGGGGCTCAGAGTTTCTCCTGCTGATGCCTCAACCCCCACAGGTGTTTTCAGTCAGAGGCTTTGAGGCTTTATTTCCTGGTACTGGAACTCTGGGTTGCTTTGTCTGTCTCAATTCCCAGTTTTTTATCCCACTGTATCTGCACACAAATGTGGGACCATCCTGTCCATAAGCTGCTGCGTTGCTATGAATCCTCTCCAGAAGGTTGCCCGTCTGCACCCCTCCTACAGGTCTGGATGAATATTTCTTCTTTTACTCCTTGGTTGTTGGACTTCCATACAGTTTGCTTTTCTGTCTTTTCTTCTTGTTTTTTGTTTTTAAATTTGTTGTTGTCCTTGTTTTGGTTGTGTGAGGAGGCACAGTGTGTTTACCTACAGCTCTATCTTGGCTGAAAATTGTGGGTTTATTTCTGAAGTTTTGATTCTGTTCCATTGGTCAGTATGATTTTGTTTTGTTTTTTTTTTTTTTTTTTGCAATTACCATGCTGTTTTAATTATCACAGCTCTGGAGCATAATTTGATATCAGGGAGTGTGATGCCTTTAACTCTATTCTTCTTTCTCAAGATTGCTTTGGCTGTTGGTGGTCTTGTATGAATTTTATTATGTTTTTTTCTATTTCTATGAAAAGTGTATTTGAAGTTTTGATAGGACTTGCATTGAATTTGTAGTTTGAAGTTTTTTTCTTAAGATTTTATTTATTTATCTTTAGAGGGGAAGGGAAGGAGAAAGGTAGACAAATATCAATGTATGGTTGCCTCCTGTGCAGCCCTTGCTGGGAACTGGCCTGCAACCCAGGCATGTGCCCTGACTGGGTATTGAACCATGATCCTTTGCTTCACAGGCCTGTGCTCAACACATTGAGCTACACCAGCCAGGGCTGTATTGGAAGTTTTGATAGGGCTTGCATTGAATTTGTAGTTTGGGCAGTATACATATTTAGTGAATCCTTCCTAACTGTAAATGCAGGATATATTTCCATTTATGTCTGTCTTTCCAATTTCTTTCACCAAACTGTTAGAGTTTTCAATGTCCAGA